ACTGTTAATCCATAGGAATGAGATTAAGGATCAACCTGCCAACTGTTTACGAGGGGGTGTCAATCTGTTTACCAGAGGTTTTCTAGGCATTTAGGATAGCTTGTGTATGGTTCCTTACATAAAATGTCAATTTTTATTTATCCAGCTTACAATATGTTTTTAATGACTCACTTTCTGATCTTATGACAAAATTTATCCTTCATACATTTACCATCCTAATTACCAATGTGAGTTCCAGTTCATTTAGACCTCTGCTGAGCAGTGTTGTCACACAGTCTTGTATCTGAACATTGACATAGATTTGTAGCTTGATGTGTTTTGATGTGAGTGTGATGTGTATCTGATATGCCAATCAGAACTAGATATATTTAGAAAGAATAGGCGTCTCTTCCTTGATAACATCACTTTAGTGACTATAATTATGTTTCAAAATAGCTAGAAATGCCCTGAAGTGGTGACCTCAGTCTGAAAATGTTTTTTATTCCTTCTGCAGTGTGTCCATTATGACGATGTGTTAACCCGGTCAGTGTTATTTAATAGGGTTATACCTACAGGGAGTGTTAATTCATTCACCCCTAAAGACACATTTGAACTGCACTCTTCCAATTCAAAGGTTGGAATAGTTCATTATGGAATTTCAGGGGTGAATAAGTTAATTAACACTGACAATTATCTAATTCATCAAACTTGTACTGTATCTTTAACATCAGATAATAACTGGTAAGCTATATATATATATAGCTTATTACTAATGATCATGAGACACACACACACATATATATATATATATATGGTGTTATTTAAAGGACACTTAATTTATGTATTGGTAATTTCACAAAGTTTACACGTTCTTCAGTTTACTGTTCTGAGATTGTTAGGCCTGTATATGTAGTGTGCTTGATAAGAAAATGATCATTTCCTTGGATTTGAATGAGTTATCTCCCCCTCCCCCCAAAAATGCAAAATCCACCATGTATATAAATATACAGAAGAGATGTCTATCCCAGACATCAAATGAAGAATGAAAAAAAAATTGTCCAGGATATAAAGTACTGATATTGGGATAACATGTAAACATCTAGGAAGTTGTATCAGTAAACAATCTGATAACACTTTTATTTATAAATCATTGGAGTGATCTCCCTTTCAATTAGAAAAGTAATGTTCCAGCTCCTTTGTTCATCATTAAATGGGGTTTTTCATAGACAAATAATCTTGAATATATCTGAAACAATGACAGCCATAATGAACTTGATGATTTGCTCTGCCTATCAGGTTTGGAAGCATTTTCAGAATCATAACCCAAGGGTCAAGGTTACAATTGAGGTGACAGATATCAGATATATGTACTGTCAGTTTCTGTTTGTTTGTTCACAATGAGATAAACTAATAAACATTGCATGAAGACATTTTAAAGGCATTTCACCCCCATTTCATTACTAGATGTGTGCGACATTCTTTTATAGGACCCTTGATTCAAGGCCAAGGTCACGAGAGATCAAAAGTCAAATACACTGGTAACTGTACACCTAGTCATAAATATTACTATTACATTCCATCTAGAAAGTTAAAAGACACCAGATTGTCCAGTATGTATAAAAAGTCCATCCCATCAGATAAGTACAGTGACAAGATTGTCCGGTACAATCACTTATAAGTACAGTGACCAGATTGTCCGGTACAATCACTTATAAGTACAGTGACCAGATTGTCCGGTACAATCACTTATAAGTACAGTGACCAGATTGTCCGGTACAATCACTTATAAGTACAGTGACCAGATTGTCCGGTACAATCACTTATAAGTACAGTGACCAGATTGTCCGGTACAATCACTTATAAGTACAGTGACCAGATTGTCCGGTACAATCACTTATAAGTACAGTGACCAGATTGTCCGGTACAATCACTTATAAGTACAGTGACCAGATTGTCCGGTACAATCACTTATAAGTACAGTGACCAGATTGTCCGGTACAATCACTTATAAGTACAGTGACCAGATTGTCCGGTACAATCACTTATAAGTACAGTGACCAGATTGTCCGGTACAATCACTTATAAGTACAGTGACCAGATTGTCCGGTACAATCACTTATAAGTACAGTGACCAGATTGTCCGGTACAATCACTTATAAGTACAGTGACCAGATTGTCCGGTACAATCACTTATAAGTACAGTGACCAGATTGTCCGGTACAATCACTTATAAGTACAGTGACCAGATTGTCCGGTACAATCACTTATAAGTACAGTGACCAGATTGTCCGGTACAATCACTTATAAGTACAGTGACCAGATTGTCCGGTACAATCACTTATAAGTACAGTGACCAGATTGTCCGGTACAATCACTTATAAGTACAGTGACCAGATTGTCCGGTACAATCACTTATAAGTACAGTGACCAGATTGTCCGGTACAATCACTTATAAGTACAGTGACCAGATTGTCCGGTACAATCACTTATAAGTACAGTGACCAGATTGTCCGGTACAATCACTTATAAGTACAGTGACCAGATTGTCCGGTACAATCACTTATAAGTACAGTGACCAGATTGTCCGGTACAATCACTTATAAGTATGTATACAGTGACCAGATTGTCCGGTACAATCACTTATAAGTACAGTGACCAGATTGACCGGTACAATCACTTATAATTATGTATACAGTGACCAGATTGTCCGGTACAATCAATTATAAGTACAGTGACCAGACTGTCTGGCACAATCACTTTTAAGTACAGTGACCAGACTGTCCGGTACAATCACTGATAAATACAGTGACCAGATTGTCCGGTACAATCACTTATAAGTAGAGTGACAGCATTAATGTGCTGTCTGTTTAATGGACCCTGTACGTATATACATATCTATGTACTCCAAAGTCACAGTAACAATTAGTTGCCAAAATGTAAATTGATTTATACTTTATCAAATTTAAACACGTTGGTTTAGCCTTTAAATTTATATTATATAAATGATACAACCTACAGGACTCAATTCTCCACGTTACAGATCAAATAAATATTGATCAAAATCTGGTTTCTAACTCTACAACAATTCAATAGCCAGGGATATTTCAATGTATATATGTTACTGGGCCTTGATAAATGGCTTTCAGCAATCTATATCCCTACACTTATCTATTCAGTATGTCTGTGGCTGGGCTTTAATTTAAAGATCTTAACTCCCGTAGACAAGCATGCCTGTCATTGAGGAGATTGTCGTACCATTTAAACTGTATCCGTATTAGAGCAAGCACATGTTTCTGATTTTAACTTCACCATTGCCTAAGGCTATTGTAAGCTTATGTATTGGCACCTGGGTCTGTCCTCAATCCATCGTCAACATTTCATATATTAAACTAATATTCTTTAGAACCATAATGCCTTGATTCATGGTATTTCTTATGAAGCATGTTGATACACTTTCATCCTAACAAGCTACAAGACAAAATTATTCTATTTTGATTTCTTCACGATTTATAGATTGATGGTAGTTAACCTATAGCTTGCTTGGTTAATGCTGAGCTCCCAGACTGTTTAACCAGTAATTTGGTGGGTTGATGCTGTCTAGACTGTTTAACCAGTAATTTGGTGGGTTGATGCTGTCGAGGCTGTTTAACCAGTAATTTGGTGGGTTGATGCTGTCTAGGCTGTTTAACCAGTAATTTGGTGGGTTGATGCTGTCTAGGCTGTTTAACCGGTAATTTGGTGGGTTGATAATGTCTAGGCTGTTTAATCGGTAATTTGGTGGGTTGATAATGTCTAGGCTGTTTAACCGGTAATTTGGTGGGTTGATGCTGTCTAGGCTGTTTAACCATTAATTTGGTGGGTTGATGCTGTCTAGGCCGTTTTAACCTGTAATTTGGTGGGTTGATGCTGCGTAGGCTGTTTAACCTGTAATTTGGTGGGTTGATGCTGCCTAGGCTGTTTAACCTGTAATTTGGGGGGTTGATGCTGTCTAGGCTGTTTTACCTGTAATTTGGCGGGGTGCTGCTGTCTAGGCTGTTTTACCTGTAATTTGTTGGGTTGATGCTGTCTAGGCTGTTTTAACCTGTAATTTGGGGGGTTGATGCTGTCTAGGCTGTTTTTCCTGTAATTTGGTGGGTTGATGCTGCCTAGGCTGTTTAACCTGTAATTTGGTGGGTTTGCTCACTGTCCAGGCTATTCAAATTTTATCTTCATATCATATCTGATAACAAAACCAAATCATGAGTGTTGAAATGCTGTTTGAGTATAGACATTTTATTTGCATAAAAATATATTATTTATATTGTTATTGATGTTTACAATGTATTAGCGTTTTTCTTGACTACAGTGTTGTCCAGTTATTTTTTAACATAATGTAAGATGAAATAGTCCTTAGCTTTTGATTTTATTTCAAACTTGCCTGTTAAACAGATTTCCTTTTTATCCTACGGATAATCTTTACAAGTTTAGTTTTGTTTGGTTTATTTTCGTGTCTATTATGTAACTGACTGTCGCTAGTAAAGACTTTGTCTTCCATTTCTAAAGATTACATTAGAAAAACATTGGTGTTTGTTTGAAGCCCAAGTGGGAATGAATGGCGGTCGGCCTTGGTTACCTGTCACGACAATGTTGCATTCTAGAATCTCTAAGTTGTGAGGACATTTGATGACTTTAACGAGGGTCTGAGTATGATCTCAAGTCCTCTGTCAATTATTCAATCAATCACAGCCTTTTAAGGGAAGATTCTCGTAACAAGAACAAAAAATCAATGTCGCTCCAAAACCGATGCTGTGTGAACATAAAAATGAAATAAAAGTTTGAAAAGATTTTATTGACCGAGAGCGTAGAAATGACAACATTTTAGATTGAGTAGCTGTGACGTTTAATGACAAGAATCAATAAGCTTGTATCGTAGAATAGAATTCCAACAGAGAGGATTACACAGGTATTATCCGTAAGTAACGACAAATTCTGTGCCATTGTGTGATAGGTATATATACCCACACTGTCACTGGACGCCGGTTAAATAGGCTTACACAATCGCCTATATCCATATCTACCGGTACCTATACCCTGTTCAAGTCCGTCAGTTTTAATGCAGTGACATGAAGTACCTTTGTAACAGTCTATACAAGTATTTTCACAATCTTACCTGTATCTCTGTTGACTTCATTAATGGCCAGGTGTAGTAATTTTCAGCCAAAGAAGACTTTCGAGTGAATTTTGTTTTCCCTGGATTTTACTTTCCTGTGGTTTAACATCAAGTGATCTATATATACCATAAGGTGAAAAAAAGCTATGACGTTTTTGGATCGGATAAGACCAGTGGAATTTGGTGATTGTGTGTTTAATGTTTATTGTGGTCGGTGAATGGCCACTGTTGATTTTACTGTTCAGTTAATGCCAAAGTAAATGGCAATATCAGAAATTTACCTATAGGTGAACAGGTGAGTGGAAGGAGTTCGCCTCAGAATTGTAAACTTAGAAATATAATCAGTGTTTACTTTTGAACTGGAGATTGGACTATATCAGGTGTCCTGGTTACCTGTGTGTGTTACAGGTGGGGCTATTAGTGTGTCCTGCAACCATTATAATAGTCACACCTAAAACACTGTCAACGGAAATGTATTACGGAGTATTCTGTCGGAGTGTATAGAGTATTTTGTGTGTGATTCTCCCGTATCAGGCCTGACTATGAGCCTGCTGCTGCGATCGCGGGCCAAACGACCAGAAAGTGCCGAGGTATGTGTATTGGAAACTGGAACCAAATGAATGCTAAAATGTGTTTTCATTGTTGAGCAAACAACATTTATTATGAAGGTGTTAACTGTTTTGATCTCTATAGAAATGTAAAGAAACATTCACATATCCAGTATTATTTCAACCCCCATAGTTAAACTTCCTTATTGATGATCAAATCTGGTATAGTTACCACGGGAGTATTGTAATAAACTAAAATGGTAAATTCACATTTCATGAGTATGATCTAAGCGGTACAGTACTAATCTTATAATGTTCATTTAAATACTGGCTTGAATTAATGCCTCATAAATCCATTATTCATATTCAAGAAAAATCTAGAACTTAACTCTGTCTGTTACATAATGTTAAATAGAAATGAATTTCGATGTATAGAACATTGCGGAGTATTATGATAAGAGTTGATTATAAGGTAAATGTTGTAGGTCTGGTCATATCCGTGTTGTATATTGATATTTATCAATCGTAGTTTGGTGTAATATTCCTCATTTCAGAGATTTATTAATTGAACAAATCATATTGTAGAAGGATTGTAGGCAGTTTCTAGTGATCAAGTCAAACGTAGGGTATATATATATATATGTAGTATGGGGAAAGTTTGGACTATTGTATTGATAGGCTGTAGGCTATAGGTCAGCTCATTGTCATGGTTGATTAGATTCAGAAATTCAAATTACTGGGCGGTATTTAAAAAATTGGATTTGATTAGTTTTTCGACTTTAATCACGTATCACAAGTTTGACTAGAAACAAGACTTATTTACCATACATACAGCAGTATCCTCAGTCATATGTGGTCGTGCAGCCTCCCAAATGTCAGTAGCTACTGAAATTTTACTCAAAACAAATATAAACGGAGGGGTCATGTGTGTGTGTGGGGGGGGGGGCATAAGTGTTATTATATTCATGTAACTCATCGCTCTAGGCGACTTCATTTCTTTAAAGTGATCAAACTGGTCAACTATTGATACAAACTTGTCAAAAAATGATACTTATTTGTATTGGGATTGGGGGGGGGAGGGGGGGGGGGGGCAATCATGTCTTACAGACATTTTTGAATTGTATTCATCAATTGATAATGTCAGGTCATATTATTCAACATTTTCTAAAAGAAATTGTAGTATTTAATGCCTAATTTGAATTCAAAGAACACACATTGACTTTTTCGTAATTAGAATATTTTACTGTTCAGTTAAATTTATGCCAAAGTTTATGACACTGTCCGAAATTCATTTTTTTATTTTGTTTATTTTTGTCATGATGTGTTTGTTTTTGATGCTTTGTCGGTATCGATACATACCTGATGATGATTTGCGTGACACTTAGCAGACCACGTTGTACTTAGAATGACTACATTATTATAAACGGTAGAACAGACGGTGCCTCAGCTCCGACACTGCAATGCATGCGTTCAGGTCGACAGTGAATGCGTGATGGTACAAGCTTGTTAAAATACAATTAACCAAGTGTATCTCTTAAATTGGTTACCTTTGTTGTGTGATTGATTTTGTATTTTGGCTTCGATGCCATCACAGAAATGAGTAGAGAAAAAAAACAATTTCAATACGGTGTATGATGAAAAGAATATTGTCGTTATTGGTAGATGTACCACAAGGCTTATAGACATGCAATAAAATCGAGATAGTGTTCAATCATCTCTGAGCTATCTGGTAACGGAACTCCATTTTCCCTAATTCCATTATCTTCCGGCTTGTGGATAGGTCTACACACAATTAGTGTATTAGCATCTCCTGTCATGCAATGTGTTGGCAAGTCTGACATGATGGGAATGCTGTGTTTGAGTTGCAATGAAAGTTGTTTGTGGTGCGGAGGATTGTCATATATATATATGTGTTCTATCGAAAAACATCAGCAGCGATACGTTGAAGGCCTCGAAGAAATTGTCTACAGTTGTGATAGCAACATGATTCTCTGTAGTACGATAATAACAAAGATTAGCACTTCTTTTCGTTTTCATGCGATGATGTTGTGCTTCAAGAATAAATTCATTAATTTATAATTATTCACTGTGTTTTGATGAAATGAAAGCCTAGAGTTATTCTATAAGCACCAAGATTGATAGTTATTGATTTAGCTGGCTGTTAAGGCTGAAGTATCTACAGGAATCGCCCTAGTGTAATATGCGGTAGCAGAAAAGGTAGAAATAAATTAAGAACTTTCAAACATTTAAGCTCGATTTTATTACAGAACAATACATACACAGTGTAATGGTTACTGGTGCACGTTTGTGTGTGGAGTTGCTTTAATTCGATTGGAAACTGGTCCCTATGAAAATTTAGTTAATTTGAGAACATGTTTTAATTGCGATAATGAAGTAGATAATTGGACTACTTAATTGTCCATTATATCTAGTTATAAGAAATGAGTTGTTTGTTAAAGCCCAACACACACATAGACATTTTGTTTCACTATGTGATGTCATTAAATTATCTGTTATAATCCACAATGTTATATAAGTTTATTTCTATGTGATGTCATTAAATTATCTGTTATACGTCCACAACAGTGGTAGTAACATGTTTATATGTATCTATAGTGCCAAACAAATATCAGATAGACGTAGGCATTCATTATATATATAGCAATTGATTTTAGTATCTCAAATTATTTTAACTTGTGTATACAGCTTCTATAGCCTATATAAAGTCTCACGTAACGCTGTATAGGGCGACCTCTGTGTAATTTTAGAAAATAGTGTTGTAATTGTGTGTTTGTTTTCAATGACGGTGATACTCAAATCAATTATTTGAACTTGAACTTATAGTAATTGAATGCACAATGATTTTTGCAATGTATTGTATGCAGATGTTTTCTTTGTCCTGGTATTGTTTGTGACGTCACTATGCTTGTTTATTTATGACGTCACTAAAATTGTTGACTATACAAATATTGATGACGTCATGTAACCAACGGTGATAAATAAACATCAATCCGCCTGAAGAAGCCCTAGAAGGCAGAAAGGCCTAGCGGACGATCTGAAAAAATTATATATTTTATTTCTATATTTTCCTTCGCAAGGACTTATTTATTTATTATCTACTATATATATATATATATATGAATGAAGTTAATAATTCATATATCGCTGATAAGGATCCCCGTACCGCTGCCTTAAGCTGTAACTAAGTGCTGGAAGCTGTTTACCCAGAATGACTATAGCTTTGATAAATCATTAATAAGAAAACCATACCTTGTGGGAATTTAATGGAAAATAATATATATATGAAACAAACAAAATATAAATCCTAAACAGTGTTCCGAGTGTAAAAATTGAAATGGACCAAACTGGAATTCGAACCCTGAACATCAGATTGTTATACTGTCACTCTGACCGACAGACCTACCTGGTTAACGGACAAGGACAGCAACATAAGGCTGGTGATAGACTGAACGATAACAGAGAGCTCTGTCATATATTTCAACATTTTTCAAATATTCGACATGTACATTTGCTTGCAGCTGTTAACCCCACAGCATATTCCAGGACTAGAGAGTATTGACACAATGTTTTAAGTTATACACCATAATTACAGGTATAACTCTGTAGAACAGACTTGTCTCAGTTCACCGATGATCAGTTCAAGTGAATCTAGCTGTATACCCAAAAATGTCATTACAATGTTTGTCAATTCTAAACATGAAATACTACCGTCAAACCTGCTCTTGTAATTGTCCGTCTTTTAAAATTGTAAGGTAAAATTATAGTGATTTTGGTGTAGATTTAGCAAAAACCTGGAAAAGCGTGATTTACCACTGAATCTGTATCATCTTTATCATCACTCGAGTTGTCTAAATTTTGGCATTTTTAATTTCACACACATAAGTTGTTGTTTTTTTGTTGGTTTTTTTTATGGGGGGAGGGCTTGAGTTTTTTTTTTTTTTTTTTTAAAAAGGAAAGTACATTATGAAGTAACAATGTTTAACTGTACCTTGGGTACGTAGCACATTTGGTTTATCATGCCCTTATACCCAGTATCTTCCAAAAAGACGTTACGGTCCTTTTGCATTGTTAACTGTTTGGCACACCCTAGCTTTAAGATTCAATTCTATCTAATATCAGCTACAGGTGAGAGTGATTGAAATGTCTCACAGCTGCAGTGATATACCTTGGGTTAAACGCTTTTACACGCTGACTGTATATATACCGCTAAGTTGCTGGTTGTCCAATTACTTCAGTGTGAGCGGATCACAATCGTTGATGAAATGATAAAATGTTGATCTCTGCCATCTCACCTGCGCGATTCAATTTGTCAGCACAGGTACACTTCTGTAAAACAGATCACAGGTACAGTTCTGTAAGATAGAGCTAAGGAGCGCCGTAATATGTCATGTCGCGCCTGTAAGTTAAAATCCCGTATAGGGTAGAGTTTGTCATGGTTATCTGCAATATATTCTCCTGAGCATTCTAAATTACCATCACACTGGGGAAAATTAATGTCTGCTTCGTGAGTTTGGATTCCGTCCAAACTTTCTGCCACTTAAAATTCTCAATTATCAATTCCAATGTTAAAAACATTAAATGGACATTTTACATATATCCTGCACATTCGAAAGATTTTTTTTACTTTTTCTTGCAATTCAGTGCTGAACATTTTTATTATCAGATTAAAGAATTTATCAAAGACTGTTATATCTTGACCTTTTTCCTTTAACTAGGATTCAAGCAAAACGAGTCAGTACAGTTTACAAAGCTTGTCTATGACATCAAGGTTATAGTCAGTTTGTATACTGTTTGATTAAAGGGAATTAAACTTAGTCGAGGTCAAATTCTACAATTTCCTTGAATCCGTTATCTTAAATATGGATAATTACCATGATTTGGGGTGTGTTTATTCTAGTCTCAGGATTGCTGAAGTATACTTAACTTTCTCAGATCTAAAATCTTGACTTTNATAAACAGGTAAACTGTTGTTTCATCGTTTTTGTTGTGTATAAACAATGATTTTAAAGCGACACAAGTTA